TTTGTTTTTTGTTTGTTTTTTTTTGTTTTTTTTTTTGTTTTTGGGGGGGGGTAGCTGAAGTTAGAGAAATAAAAGGTAACCTGAATACATTTAACATGCAGTTAGCAGATCTTGACATTACGGGTTTGCCTAGTGTTGCTGAGATCAGATAGTAGGAAAGTACTGCTAACTGAACTAAGTTGCCCATCTCATAAAGACACTGTTATTGCATTAAAAACATTATTCAGCTCAACCCAATTTCCTTTATAAAGCACCAAATCCCAAAAGTTGTCACCTCAAGTAGGGTAAAGACCCTGCAATGACCGAGGAAAAAACCCCAACAGTCAGACAACCCCCTATGAGCAAGCACTTGGAGACAGTGTGAAGAAAAAACTCCATTTTAACAGGAAGAAACCTCCAGCAGAACCCCGCTCAGGGAGGGGCAGTCCTGTCCTGCGACTTGTTGGGGGTGAGTGGAGGAAGGCAGAACAAAGGACACTGTACGAGAAAGCCAGACTTTCAAAATAAAAGATGAAATAGCATAGTGGTGTATAAACACATGGAGAGTTCCAGTGATGAAGAAATGCTCAGTGTGTCATGGCAAGCGCACAGCAGCTGGGGCCTATTACTATCTTAACTAAATGATCACCTGATCCAGCCCCAATGAGAAGCTTTATCATTATCACTATAAGCTTTCTTATATGTTGAGATTGTGTTTGCTGGCGCTTCTTCCCTCTAGTGTGTTTCACAGGCTCAATCTACTACATGATATTACAAAAACCACTTTGAGCAGGTCAAACTAAGAGGGAATGAAGTTTTTGAAAGATGAAATAACATTGAACCATGTCAATGTTTCAGCTGTGCTTGTAGTTGAACTTCCTTTTGACAGTGCCAAGCTAGCTGCTTCCCATTGTTTCCCATCATCATGCCAAGCTAAGCTAGCAGCTGCTCATGGCAGCCTTATATGCAGCTACTCTACAGACAGGAGTGTTTGAATAAAGCCTGCAAATATGAAGTGTGTTTATAGTACATTGTAACAGACCGATACCTCCACTAGCAAGGAATAATATATGTTAACACAAGGAAATAAATATAGCAGTGTCGCTGCATTCCTCAGTGCTACATAGAAATCCCTTTTCTGTATTAATGGCACTTGGAGTGTGCACGTCTCAAATGATCAGAACCAGATCAAAGTGTTGGTGGCAGCTCAACACGCTGAATTAAAAAATTAAATTATAAGTTATCACAAGACAATAATGTTTACGGTGCTCTTCAGTGAAAGACAGTTCTGCTGACTGCAACATAATGAGTCTTACAAACCATTCATCATAAACAATAGACTGGGAATTCAATTAAACTCTGGAGGGGGACATCATTGTCTTTCACTGCTCTTTCTTTACAGCAGAGGAAAAAGCGGGATGACGACATCTTAAACGTTTTCATAGGACTAGTGTTGATGCAGAGGAAGGATATGTGGGTGAAAAGGACACACCAGCAGACAGGATATGGGATCCTGTCTGGCGGCAAAAGAATCTCCAACTCTTTTTCTGAGATTCACTGTGGCCTTATAAAAAGCAGACAGACCTGTGGCCAAAGTGTTGCCAGTGGACTTTTAAACAATAGTTTTCAGACATGTAAAGAGAATGATCTTGTGAAGACTTTGATCTTTGGGAGCGTGGGTCCCAAATGGGTGCTTAGCTTGTGGATTTTCTTACCTATTCACTCCTTCATCACAAAGCCAATCGTGACACTGAAGAGGGCCTGAAACAGTGGAGGCACAGCTGAGACGCACAGGTGGATGTGGAGACAGTGAGGTGTTCTGGTGTTGTTTTACAGGAGTTGTCTTTGTTTCTCCCCTCTAGATGACAGAGGGCCGCCTGTGCCAAGTTCACCTCCTTGATGACCGCAAGCTGGAGCTGCTGGTTCAGGTACGTCACCCTTTTAATTTATTTCACATTGTATTTATGGTGTTTTATGTTTAAAAAAATAATAATAGTAGTAGTTTAAACTGAGCTCCTGCATATTATTTAAAACTTTACAGCCCAAGCTTTTGTCCCGTGAACTGCTAGATCTGGTAGCGTCACATTTTAACCTGAAGGAGAAAGAGTACTTTGGATTGTGCTTCATAGATGACACGTAAGTACATTTCCACATGTGTACACTTTAATGCAAAAGTGCACTTGAGGAAAATTTACTTTAACAATAAAAGGGAAATAATTGAAAAATAGCTGTATTGCAAACATGATTTTCTTTTTTTCCTTTTGCAATTTAACCCTGCTCAGTGGCCAGAGCAACTGGCTCCAGCTAGATCGTAAAGTCCTCGATCATTACTTCTCCAAGACTTCAGGGCCTTTGGAGCTCAAGTTCCTTGTGAGGTGAGTGAGTGTTTTACTGGAAGCATCAGCCTATCATGTCTTATTGTTCTACACACTATAATAATGAGAGCCCCGTTTTGAAGCAACATCCACTGTTTTGTCATGACCAGCAGGTGGCAGTAATGGAACATGGTTTAAATCCAGCTGTATGTCTTCCAAACAGCATTACTGTATTGAACATGATGATGTGCTTAATGCTCAAACACTGGCTGACTTGCACTGGCAATCTGTTTCTAGTAAGCCTTACTGACCCAAAATAAACTTTTCACAGGTTTTACATCGAGAAAATCACCCTCTTGAAAGAGAACACAACAGTGGAGCTGTTCTTCCTAAATGCTAAATCTCTAGTGTTTAATGTAAGTGTTTGCGAGCAAAATGTGTTTTATATAATATATATGAGCAAAGAAAATAGGCTCACAGCAGGCTATGTGAAGTTGTTACATCTGAAGCAAAATATATATAAAAAACAAAACAAAAATTTTATATATTTTGTATAAGGGTATCCAAAACTGGCATTTTAATAAATTGCACACAATAGCTGATTGCATTATGGGAAGATGCATAACAGCTCAGGGTAATTTAATTTTGAGTAAATGTTAAGAAAAAAATCTACATGATGCACATTTTAAAAATAAAACATGCACAATCTTTTCTACAGAATTAATATTGCCCATTTTGATTTCTTATTGTTTTAGCATGACAAATCACAAATCCCCATCATTTTGCTTCAGATGTAACAACTTCACATATCCTGCTGTGCGCTGATTTCCTTTGCTCATGGTTCTTTACACTGAATTGTTGTGCCTATGTAATATTTATTCATAATATACTGTTATATCTCTCAGTAGTCCGTCTACTACCGCTCAAGAGCAGAATGCTGCTTTCGGTGGCAATTGGAAACCCCTAGTGTTGTTCTAATTTACTAACGGTGTTATCAAAGTCGAATGTTAATGTTTAGGGTACATTCAAACAGAACAAAAGGTTTCAACACAGAAATGAAAAACTCAGAGCTCCGGAGTCACTTTCCCTTTGTATTTTAGTTAAATTATTTATAAAAATTAAGCAAAATTATTATGCTACTTGCTGACAAGAGTTAATAAACGTTAATAGATACTAGTGTTTGATTATGTTTAATCGTTTTGAAATAAACTGTTTAATGTGTGAAGTTCTGCGCAAATTTGCGAAAAGAGGACAGGGGAACGTGGGGTATACGAGGAGCACATGAAGGCAGCACGTGATCAAACGTTGCGGTTGCCGTTTTTTCTTTTCGCGGGGAGAGCAGACTGATCTCCATGGGAGACGCAGACTGTTGAACCTGCTTTCGGACCGTACCACTTTGCCGAGGGGGCAGCAACTTCAGTCAGGGCATTAACCCAGGCTCTCTCTGCACTCCGGTGTGTGCGTTACGTTTTAGAGTAAACGACAGGATAATTCGGGGACTGAAAAACATGTTAAATCCTCTTCACGGGCAGTTTTTTTTTTTTGTAACACGGGGTTGACTTTGCGAGAGTGGTTCAGTCGGTAACGGTGGGACCGAGGTACGGGACGGGAAGGTTTTTCTCTCAAGTCAAGTGTTTCAAACGGGCTACACATTGTCTTTTTAAATACCCTTGCCAATTTTTTTTCTTCTCCTTTTTTTTAACAACAGGAGACCATTGAAGTGGAGAGTGAAAATGTGTTCAAGTTAGCTGCGTTCGCATTGCAGGTAAGAAAGAGTTTGTCGCAGCCTTTCCAGGCTAAAGTGTTGTCACTCAGCCCAAACGAGGACGCTCGGTGGGCTCGCAACATTTGAAAATAGTTGTCTCTTGAGGGGGTGGGGGGGCTACAGTCGGAGCTGTTGTTAACCAAACTGTGCCTTTTTATATCAACAGTGACGTCTAAAATCACCTTATGCTTCGACTACATGCTTGCTTTTAGCTATTAGCTATTGAAATGAATGAAATTCTAAATTAAACGTGTTGATGTTTACTTATGTAATGTTGCCTTTGTAGTGACTGACCTCTGCGGTAATGTTAGCTACTAGCACAGTTTATTAAGTCTTGACTTTTCTAGCAATATTTTCACTAATTTCTTTGTTTTCCCATTTTTAGGAGGCCAAAGGAGATTACAGCAGGTAAGAACCCCTTGAAATATTGCCTGGCTCGAAGGTCTTTATTACATCAAGTTGATTTTCATTCAAAACAGTACTATCTGTTGAAGTTTAGAAATATGTTTTGATGTATTGGATAAACGGATTTCCATACACATTTTTATAAGTTAAGTTCTGCACTTGAATGCAGGCTTTGCATAATCTATAAAGTATTTGTTCCTGTCATCTATATAAAGGAAGCAGAGTTTGCCAAGTTCATTGGTCAGTTCTGTTTGTTTAAACGATGGCTGTCTGTTAATGTACAACTTGCTGGCTCAGATTTGTATTATGGTGGACTTATCTGAGTTAATAATTTTCTTTTTCTTTTCTTTTTTTCCTGGTTGCTCTTCTGGCATTTACCTGAACCTCATGTGGCTTGGCATTATCCACATAGTGCTTTCAAAGACAGATTTACTATTAATTCCTGCCTTTGCGTATGCATATGCAATGATGCAACGTGTTTATGCTCTAAACATGTGGAACACTTTACAGATTTACTGTTTGGCATGTAGTGATGGCGTCATCTCTTAATAAATGTCACGTACCCTGACAAACATGGCCTGAATGACACATGTACAAACATGGGACGTAGTGTACACGATTGGGTCGATGACACTAGTGGGAGATTCTGTTCCAGAGCTCAATAATCTGTTCATTAGTTGTGATAATGCTTTCATAGTCAACTTGCTCTCAGAAGCCTGCCTAGTGATAAAGTGTGTGGAGTTTTTTGTTTGTTTTTTTGTTTTTTTCCCCCTCCAGTCATAGAAGTGAAGGACATTTGCTGCCACTAGTAAACACTGGCCTGTTTGATTGAATGAGCAAGCAGCTTGAAGCAGCCTGAACCTGCATGTGTTGTCTCTTTGCTTTGCCTCTAAAGGCCTCTCCGTCCATTGTGCAGAAACAAAGATTTGTGCTTTGTAAGGCGAGTGCGCTTGTGTTGTTTGAATGGTGGTATATATGCAATGCTGAAAATGCAGTTCAACCTCTTGTCAAAGCTTTGCCTTTGTTCTCCTGCAGAAAAAAATGGAAAAACACAACTTGGCTGCATCTGCTTGTGCTCATTAACTTGCTCTGTTTTATTACAAACGTGACTGACCTGATAAATATTAATTACCATTTATTATAGCTTCAATGCAGATTTATTCCTCTTGTGTTTTGATTTCAGGCTTGTTATATCCTTAAAGTGTAACATGCACTTTACTGTCTGAACTTTCAGTTCATGTGGGTGTAGGGATGGGCTGTACTTTGCCCTGACTCTGAAAGCACAATAAAAGAAAACTGGCCAACAAATCTGGAAGAATCAGAGAGGATGATGGGAAGTTTCCAAATCAAACAGTTCTGTTTTAGTTTTTTGGGAGTTTTGTTAGTCTGTATTTGCAGGGATATCTACTTGCATTGTGGTTGCTAGATTTTAGGCTGTAAAACACAATAGATTTTGTTTACTTTACACATTAATAAATAGAATGGATTTCCCTCAGTGGCAAAATACTTTTTTTCTTGTCTGACTTGATCATAGCACCCCCATCCCATTTATCTACCACTATTATTGTCCTGGTGCATCCCCCACTTCTCTGTGGAAGTATTTCTCATCCCTGTCAGTGATCTCCTTTATTTCTACTCCTGTGAGAGAATAGGCCAAGTAAATCCCCTCAGGAAGCATATGAATGTGCCTCCCATATACTGTATCAGCGAAGGGTCCTGGAGCAGTAAAGATTAGCTGCGGAGGAGTCAGGGAGCCCTCCGCATACAGACACAGCTGCCTTAAGAGGGATGAGCCAGACCCACTGTCCAATTGCAGACAACTTGGCGTCAGGAGGACTCACTGTAGTCATGCTTTTGTTTTGGTGTGGGCTGGCCCCCTGCTGTGATTTGAATTAATGTGCCATCAGGTCTCCCATTGTGTTCTGTGTTAGAATTCCTTTTCCTGTGCAGTATTGCATACTGATTCACACTTTATTGCTGTCCTCTTCGCACCTGCAGGTATAATTCACAGCAACAAGTTTCAGCAGTTCTCTGGGGTTTGGTGGAAGCATTGGAAATCACTGAACTGATTGATGGCTTTAATTATGCCTTACAGTTTTAAGAGCGGCTGGGGATTTTTTTTCTTTCTTTTGTGTAATTGTAGTTACCTTCAAACGTAATCTTCAGACATTTGTCTATTCATCTGTTGATGATTTCGAGTTAACTTGAGTGTCTGTTTAGTTCAAAATGTGCGGCGCATAAACCGGCATTACACCCAGACAGTTTTGGTCTTCAGTTCTATTTGCAGGTGTACCCTGTAGTTAGTGGTCGATTCACAGTAACCAGCTCTCTCATTGTGCTCCCTTCCAAAGTCGCCATGTCTCAGCCCTGTGGAACAGCTGACACATGAGCATTATCGCTCCCACACTGGGTAGGCTGCTCCGGGTTGGGCTGCACTGGGTGTAGGAATTGCCCCCACGCTGCATTCTGCGGGAAGATAACAGACATAGTAATGAATTCCAGATTGCTGACACGGCAGTGCGGCTGCAGAGTAGATCACCTCGACAACACCAGGCCCCAGCTCCCCATAAAATGTATGCCATCAAACACACAGCTGCCGTGGCAGCAAAACCCAGTCAACCTAGGAGAGGTAACTACAGGGGAGAATGAGATCAGGAGCCTCTGTCCTTGTAGTGGTTCACTCTTTTCCTTTGGTTTAGGGAGCAGGTTCGCATAGCTGGATTGTTAGGGTTCCGTCTTACCGTTTGATTCCATTACTCTCTGAAGAAGATGAGCTAAAGTGATGACCACAAAGTCAGCTTGAGGTTAAATGGTTATGATCTTAAAGTCATTCAATACTTATTTTCAAGGTTATTGTAATGTAGTTAGATAGCACAAGAGCTGAGGATGTTCTAATAGCTTTATATTAAATATGGTGTGATCTACATATTATAGGCCTGTCTGAGAAGACATGGATTGTTTTGTAATAGGACTGGCCCATACAGTACTTTTCAACACAGGCAGAGGCTGCCAAGTGCTTGTGAATGGCTTTTGTTCAGGTCTCCAGTGGACTGGCCCGCCAAGCCTGAGCCGTTTTTGTCTGACAGAAACTGTAGACCCAGTGCTCCCATCTACAAGAGGCTGCAGTGACTCATAGTTCAGTATCAGAGACCTTGACAGTCAGTAACACCACAGTTCTGTACAGATAAAGTGATTACAACAGTTGGTTGGTTTGTGCATGAGAGCACCCCTTCTTTGGCTTACCCGTAAAGAGGAATCGATATACTATTATTTACATGCAGTAAATTACATAACTGAAGTGGCTTACTGCGGAGAACCTGCATAGAACGGCTTTGATATTTTTTAAGAGATTATTTTTCTCCAAGCCCTTTGTGACTTAAAAGTTCTGCATGTGCTGCGCAAATTAAGTCTGGCAAGACATGAATAAAGCCCAAGTTTTGTCTTGGCGGGACGTTATACTCTTTCTACCTCAGATAAGAAAGATGAAAACAATATCCTGACAGTGCACCTTTTCTAAAGATCTACAAGGGTGAGTTATTGCTGCCATGCCTTAAGATAGAAATCCAAAACACACTGTGAAAGTCCGAACATGTGGAGAAATGCTCTCGACACATTTTTAGACTTTGGGTTGAGATTTTTGCGTAAACACTGAAATTTGCTTTACTCATGGTCAACATTCTGGCACAGGCCACTTACTTTAAGGCCAAAACAGGATACCTTGGACTTGTAAGCACGATTCCCATGCATAGGAAGTCTTGTACAATATTGTGTGTTGACAGGCAATAATCGGTGCAGTTTTGGTGCTTTACTGTCACACTGCCAGCAATAAAGGATAGCACAATAACTTTTTTCTGTTACTGTAAATTAACAGAATTTTTTTTCCCAATCCAGTGCTGAAACTGCTACATCAGACTTGAAACAGCTACCAGTCCTGCCCACCAGGGTATTAAGGGAACACCCGTCTCTCAATTACTGGTAAGATATCTGAGATCTTGTGGTCTGAGAAAACCACAAAATGCACGAGGATAATGAATGATTAAGTTGTTTCGGATTAGCACCAAAGAAACTTAGGTTTCAGCCAACACCACAGCCCCTTTCTTCACAACTCTAACAAATCTGCTCACTGGTCAGCAACGCCTGGTTGAACCCAGCAGTTAACTCTTCTGATGAGCTTTTTTAGGTGTCAAGGTTGAATGCAGACCCAGTCTCTTATTGTCAGAAGCTTTTTCCTCTGACAGGGTGACTCATTAGCGTCTGGGTCGTGTTAATTACGTTTGCTCATTAGTCCTGGAGAGCACTGGGAGGTGCTGACAGCCACAGACTGTCTGAAAGATCACTGTCTGCCTCTTCAATCCACTTTGCTCTTGCTTATCTTGGTCATCTGAGGCTGCTACAGTCTCTGAAGCTGATACAGCAGTTCAATATCCTATTGTAAAATTACATTGTTATGGTGCTTGGGTGACCACATGTACATGTCTGTCGTTCTTGCTTTCTCTGTGTGTTAAGTTTCAGTATGTTTGCAGTGTGGCTGTTAAGAAATGATTACAATGGGATGTAAATGTGAGGCGTTTGCAGGAGAGGTAGACGAGAGCCATTAGCAAGCCAGTAGGGCAGACTGCATTTTCTGCATGAGCAGTCAGAAAGTGTGTCGGAGAAATGGCCCTCGCACAGCAATCCCTCTGTGGCTTCAATATGCTACACTTGATGGATTATTCATTAAATGTTTTATCTATCCATTTACAGTGAGGAAAAAGTGATTGAACATTACAAGAAGCTGATAGGACTGACCAGAGGGCAAGCCATTGTTCAGTAAGTCATGAAAACAACTTTGTGTGTGTGTGTGTGTGTGTGTGTGTGTGTGTGTGTGTGTGTGTG